AGCCCCGCACCCCGAGGCCCCCTCCGCCCAGTCCTCGCCTCCCAACTTTGATTTAGGAGGTCGCGTGGTTCCTCCCGCTTCCCTCCGCCGCTCCCCCGCGCCGCTATGCAAATAAGGCTCTCAGCTATTGGCTACCGCGGCGGCAACGGGGGCGAACTGGGCGGAGCCTGGGGGGGCTCGACAACTTGGGGAGGGGTTTGGAAGGTCAAGAGGTGCAGAGGGCAGTTTTACATCCAAAAACCCGGAACGGGTGGCGTGACAAGGCTGGGGGATGACTCGGGAGATCCTGTTAGAGTGTGGGTGGGGTTGAGGGGAATAGAACCAGGTCGCATCTGCAGAAGGACAGCCGTGAGTGGGATTCGAATGAGAACTTCCCGATAGCGAAGTGGGGGAAGAAGGGGGGCCCTTCTGTCCCATTACCTGGATGTCTCTCTGCCCTGAAGAGGCTCTCTCCAAACATACCCACCTCTGGGCTATGAGGTAGGGATTTGCTCAAGCAGAGAAGGGACAACTTAACATCACGTGTCAAAGGCTAGGCCTGACAATTGCTCTCTTATGGATGGAAATCCGGGACATTGTGTCACTTTCCAGTCTTGTTGTCTGGACTTCAGCAGAATAGCGAGAAGTGGCCTCAGTCCCAGGGTCTAAGGTCCTAGAAACTTCTCCAAGACATGGCCCCTCCTATAGATCCTACCACAGATGGAGTTAGGTCAGGGGGTAGGGAACCGGGGAGGGGAAATCAGATTCTTGCTCTCCAACCCGTCCTCTGTCCCCTTGTCTGACGGTATCTCTTCTAATGCATGTGTTGTTTTTACCTGCCATTTCCCCAAGTCCCCCCCCCTCCCCCCCATCACCTCTGGTCCCTGACCGAAAGGTCTAGCTTCATCTTTTGGCCCGTCCAAAGAAAGGTAGGTAGTTTGGGAGTTGAGAGACTTCTTTCCTGGGTGTGGGTGGAGAGACTTCTGGGTCTAAGTCTCCTTTCTCCTCATCTGCTCTGGGTGACAAGATGGGGGTTGGAGGGTACTCAAGAAGGTCCTGCCTTTATGCCAGCCCTAGAGGAGGGGCTGAACCCCGTGTCTGCCCATGCACATAGCCATCCATGCGATCTCTGTCCTCCCAAGGATGAGCTCACCATTGGAGGACCGCTCAGGTTACTGTGTCCAAGAATAGAGATTTATTTGCCAGTGGCAGAAGTAGGACAAGGGCAGACGTGAGGGTTTGTGACTGTGGGGGCTTAGTCGCCTCCCTCTCCAGACCCACCCACTGCAGCCACAGACTCTCTGAGTGCTAGCTTTCCTGAAAGGAGCTTTAATAGAACTTGGCCTCAGCCTTCAAACCAGTCTCCCCAAGATCCATTCATTACCAGCCTTCTCCCAATCTCCTCTGAGGACTGCCCTCCTCCCTCTTGTCCAGCTCAGGTCATCCCCAAATCCCCTCCCTGGGCAGCTGAGATGTAGGAATGCTTGAAGCACACTGAAATGAATGGATGGATCAGGCCCCCCCATCCATCCTGGGCTAGAGCAAACAGGGGCTTCTGCATTTAGAGACCTCCTGAGGGGAGGTGCCCCTGTTTCTCCCAAATAGCAGAAACTCTGGTTTCCTTAAAGTCCAGTTCCTGTGTAGTCACAAATTAACTGTGACCTTGGGTGAGTAACTAAACCCTTTAGAGCCTTGATTTCTTCATCAGCAAAATAGGCATAGTGCTGTCTCACTGTTAGGAGAATGAATGAGTTAGCCCAGGGAAAAAAGGCAGGGAAAATTAATTTTCTCCTTTCCCTCCTTTTTCCCCGGGATATTTGTCCCTTCCCAATGCTTTTCCTGAGATAGAGGGAAGAAACAGCTTCTTTCCCCACACTTTCCTGAGTCATTGGAACCTGTTATTTCATGGGGAAGTCAACCCAGAGAAAGATTCTGATGAGACATGGGGAAGAATTCCCAAGGGAATCAGTGGTACCAGTGACCAAGGAAAACCAAGGAAAGTTGGTGGGTCCTGGGCCCATCTGGTCTCCACACCAGAAGCCTGAGGTGGGGCAAATGTGGAGGAGGCTGGGGGCTGGATGCCATGACCTCTGGATGTCCTTTCTGGCAATATTTCAGAGAAGTCTTTTATAAACTAAGTCTGAGTCATTGTCTCAGTGCCAACAACTCCTACTGCAGTGGCTCAGAGACAGGGCAGGAGCAGCCGGACTAGCTTCTCCTGGAGAAGGAGGAACATTGTCCCATCTCAGATTCAGAGGCTGAAATGAGGAGTGGGCAGGACAAGGGCAGGGTGCCAGGAGAGGATAAGTGGCAGTCACACGCTCAAAAGAACTCTCTAGACGGGAATTCAAGATAGAACTACTGGAGTGCCTCTTACTAGGAATGCTCACGAATGAGAGTGGGCCCTGGGCTCTCAGGAGCCTAGGGACTGAGGGATGGACCAGGTGACCTAAAATCTGCATGGAGCACAGTGGCCACCACATCCAGAGAGGCTGGTTCCCACCCCAGTCTGCCCTTCGTTTTCTGTTCTGCGACACTGGGCAGAGAGCTGTTTTCTGGAGGGACTTTAGTTTCCTTCTTTTTAGATTGGCAGAATTGGACTAGATTAGGTTGAAATGGAGAGTTGGATTAAAATGGGGCAATAATTGTATATCTCAGTGTTATTTAGAGGATTAGATGAGTTAATATATGTAAAGAACTGGAGAGAGTACATGCACAAAAAGTAATTATTGTTATGATTATGATTATTAAAAATTCTTAACCTTGGGCTTGCAGGTGAGCTTCAGGGAGTTCATGAACCCCTTGAAGCTGTGCAAGATGTTGTAGGGTAAGCACTTTCTGGGAGAGAGTCGGAGCTTTCATCTGCTCCTCAGAGAATCTAAGATCCCTCAAAGATGAAGAACCCCTGGCCTGAGTGACCCCCAGGGCCCTTCCACTAAGTGGCTGAGGTTCTCTGATGTGAGGGATTGCTACTCCTTCCACAAGAACTGACCTGTTTTCTCCCATAAACACCTTCAGCTCAAGCGCCTCCCACTGTGGTCTCTGCCCCCATGGGTTGCCAAGGACAGTCCAAGCGGAGAGCGTGAGTGGCTGGCCTTCCTCTCTAGATTTAGAATTGGCGCTCCTAGGGTGGGGGAGTCCATCACTGTTGAGGTCAAGTCTGGGTTCTCATCTAGCTGGGGAGACGAAGAGGGCCCAGGGGGCTGGGGATGCAGAGAACACCATGAGTGACCTGGCCTTGTCTAGTCTTCCCCTTCCAGCCCACCCTGGGGCCCCAGGGGCAGATACCACTCTAATGAGCTAAGGTCCATGGCAGGCATCAGTAATTATGACTTTATGGAAATATAGAAGGCTCTTACGCAAGTGCCTGACACACTTCCCGGCTGTGGCATCTGGGACAGCCAGGTCCCCAGGGGTTGGAGGAGGGCCCCTCCACCCCCTGCTGCCACCAACCTCAGGAGCTCAGGACACTGGCATAAAGCCACCCTCCCACTGCTTGTAGCATTGTCCCTAATACTCCCTGGGTGAGCTGTTTCCTCTCTGTGAGCCCCAGGCTCCCTGGAGGGGAACAAAATGGGCTCCAGTGTATGCAATCCCTCCCCTGCCCCTGCCAAGCCCAGGAGACGGTTCTTGTGTGATGGGGACAGCGGGGTTGGAGATGTCTCCCTCTCCTCCATGAAGAGAACAGGATGTCCCCTACTATTCTGTTTCTTTTTCCCTTGAGGCTGGGGACATGGGGCTGATGGGAGCCATGGTGGGGTGGGTCAAAGCCGCTGGCTGCCCCTCCCCAGGCCTTGTGCCAGTTTGCCCACCACCCATCTCCAGTGCCTCTGATAGTGTCCCGAAGCCACTGCTTTCTCTCTCTAGTCCATTCCCCCTACCCACTCACAAAGCATCTGTTACCAAGGTAACAGCAATGCCATCACTTTGGGGTGAGAAGGGGGTGAAGCCCAGTGGACTGAGGGTGCTGTTAAGGGTTAGAATTTTGGAGAGATGAACACTGAGGGGCCCCAAACTATTAAAGGAGGATCCTTTTGCTGGAGAGGGGCTCTGGGCACAGACTGGGGTAGAGGCTGTTGCTGAGAGCTGGTGGGTAAGAGGGAAGATGAAGTCTAGAAGCAACTGAATCCTGGGTTAGAGGTGGGGGTGACTCTGGCTTAGCATGTGGGAGAAGCATGAAGGTGGTGATGCCAAAGAGATGTTGAGGCAGGGAGGGTGGGGCCTGCTTGTAACTCCTCCCTTGGGGTCCAGCTCTTAAACTCCTGGGGAGAGGTTTTCTTGGCTGGGAAAGTCTAGAGCCAGCTGAAGCAGCATGGGAGAGCCT